ATATACATATAAATGTATATGTGTCCTCTATATATTTCACGAGGCACAAAACGTAGTCTTCTCGTTCGAAAGCTGCCCTAGATCGTGTCCTGGTCTCGCGTATTAAGAGAGTTGGATGCAACACTCCGATTATAATCTCTAAGTTGCGACTGAAAAATTCTTACCCTCAATGACATTTATATAAATCCGAATATAGAGAGAAGTTCGGTGAATAGAAAGTAGGTCAATGGTTTTTGATTATTTTCTATTGCTAATTATTCTAATGTAACTATTAACGATGTGATGATTTTTATCTTATATATTATATATATATACATATAAATAATATCGTATAATATTCAAATATTCTTTAACACATTGATATTTATAACGATTTTCCGTTTAAGCCACAATTAGATTTTATACGTTACACTCATATAATACAATATAAACGGTGACAATTTCAAATAGTCTAAAATAAAAGAAGTTCAAGGTAAATTATAAATTGATTTTAAAAATAATGAAAAAGATGATGATTTTATTTGTTGTTAGAGAATGTAACGAGATTAAATATGTCACGTTTTTAAGAATTGTTATTTCTCGTGAGATAAATAACTCGAGTCGTCAGGTCATATGCGTGCTAGGAAGCAAAGAAAGAAAGAAAGAAAGAAAGAAAGAAATAAGTAAATAAAGAAATAAAGAAACGATAGGTATATTCGAGATCGAGTAGAGAGAGAGAGATAGAGAGGGAAAGAGGGCCGGGGGCGCTTCTTAAATGGAGGGGAGAAGGACTAATTACGAAAGGAATCATAATAGACGCCGTGCACATACATACAACATACATATACCGCGTGCCGTGGACTGCTGAACTAACGATCGTTTCCTCCGCATCTGCACCTGTTACATTCGTTCCTCCTGGTTCATGGTGAAGCACGCGAGCTGCATATGCCGATGGCCTTCCTCAGGGACAAAATCGCCTTAGGCGAACGTGTCCGTTCGTCCTGGCCCTTCGGCAACCCCTCCGAGCATAATATATTTTTTTCTTTTTCGATATATTATATATGTATATGCAAACCATTCACAGGCCCAAAACGATTAACTCGACTTTTAGAACTTGTTTATTTCATTTTAGAATGTCAAAAGAAAAGTATATTTTATTGATATTTAACATTTTATATTTAAAATTGATTTTTTTAATAATTAAGCTCACAGAAAGAAATATTAATATCGTGTAACATTTTTTATAATTGTTTAATTATTTTATTATTTTTTACTATTAGGATTCGGATTAACGGAAACAACTTCTATTGCTATAACAAATAATTAATATCGCATGCATAGATAAAATTGTTAGGTAAAATGATTGGAATTTTAATTACAAATTAGGAATAAAATAGTTTGAATTGTTTCTTTCTCTCTCTCTCTCTTTCTCTTTCTCTCTTATATATATAAAAATTTGTTCGTATATCCGGAGTGTAACCGATCGATCGAAGATAAATAATCTTAATTAATATCTCCGTTATACCGCTTTATTCTGTTAGCCGATGGAAGTCGTCGAGTCATACGCGATGAGTCGACGTAACGATCGCTTTGAACCCGTCAAAGCTTTTTCTTTAGACAGATAGAAAAGGATTAAATTTGTTCGGAAAGAGATAGAAAGAGATGGAGAGTAATAAACGCAACCGGTCATGCGACAGCTCGTTAAGGAAATGTTGTTAATTAATATGGAAAAGCTTGGAAACGAAAGAGCATGTTCAATTCGTTGTCTCTCTACTGTCGCGCCTAAGGCTGTTACCCCAAAACTTCGCTTCCACTCTCTTTCTCATGGTACCACAACGATTTCTGTATCGCCAACAAACGCGAGGAGAGGGTTGGTCACACGACGAGGTGGTGGTGGTGATGGTGATGGTGATGGTTGCCTCTGTATTTTGTGGGATTCGCTCGAGGCCACGAAACGAATCGTCCGTCCGCTGACCAACGCTCGCATTAAAGTCTGGAAAATTGGATGGAGCAGGATTTTAAACGGGTGTGCATGCCCACCATCTTCTTTTGTTTCGGAATGACCAACGACTATTTCAGAGAGGAACAAACCGTGCGTGGTATTGCTACTTTGTCCCTTGTTCTCAAATAATCGTGGATAGAAACGAAGTTGTTAACTGTTAGCAGACACATTTTCTGACCTATCGAATATTACCACATCGCATGTACTTTCGTTTGCAATAGTACATTTCAAAGATTTTCTCTTCGAATCCCTTTTTTATTTTTTATTTTTTCTTCTTCTTTTCATTTCATAGTACCATGTAATTTTCGTTTAATATTTAGATTTAGATTATTGCAAAATAATGTCGATCAAATAATAATGACCGAAATGTTTGGTATTGAAAAAAAAAAAGTGACCACGTTTTCGCTTAAGTACGAAGAAATCACGCCTCTTCTCTTCGGTTATCTGATTCCTTTTTAATTCAGCTTCGAAATATAAGTTCCTCTTCTCCGTGTATTCGCAATTTTGAACACGCTGCTTGATGCTGCAACTCCGTCGTCGTTTTTTCGCTCTTTTATATCTTTTCGGTTGCCCGTTCGAAAAGTTGCACGCGATGGGGTAATTTTCAATAAGTGCAATCCTGTCGATTTCATCGTTGACCTATTATCTTCTAGCTGGTTCATGGACCGAGAGAGCAATGCAGCTTTTACCTTTTTCGTATACTCTTATATCTTATTTTGTAATCTTGCTGACGGAATATAACACGAGTTGCAAATAATTATAGACAAAGTTTATCGACTCGTATATTATTATATTAATACAAATGGTTAATTATATTGTATCTCAATAATTTGTGTTTTTTTATATTATTTATAAAAATTGTGTGTGTGTGTGTGTGTGCTCGGTATATAAAAAGATAATAAATGATATTTAAGAGATATACGCGTAAAATACCATGTGACAAATAATATAGTAGAGATTCATATTTTTGTATTTTTGTATTTTTTTGTTTTGTTTTCAAAAGGATGGAAAAAGAATGTACGTTTGTCTTATTTCGAGTATATTTCGCTACCGTTAGAGGAGTATTAGTAGACTTCCTCTTGAGGAGTGCCCTCAGGAAAGCGAAGGTCATTGCGTGCGGACCTCGAGCCAAGACTATCGTGAATTTCTATTGTCAGTGACAGCGCGAGAAAATAAGAGATTCGTAGTTACGTTTTGCGTATGGGGTCATACGAGTTTGTTTCAGGGTCACCGTTATCCGGCATCGATCAGACGAAGGCGGAAACCGCGCGTGCGAGCTTTCGCGATGCGCCAGTTTTATTTTTTTACGATCGGAGTATACGATACCGGCGATATCTAATAAGAAAACGATTTCAAAATGTTTGCAAATTTCTTTTGTTTTAAATTAAAACTAATGTTACACCTACTATATGTAAATTTTGTCTTTCGTCAAACGAGATTTAATAATTATTCATAGGATTTATTTGACTCTTACTTTCATGCCCCTGGGGTATATGAAACTAAAAAAAAAATATAATGAAAGAGAGAGAGAGAGAGAGAGAGAAAGACGTAGTTACACAGAAGCGCTCTTTCGACCCTTCGATTTACATTTAAGCGAGTAATTTCTCTACAAAGTCACGCGAGTCTGTATCTTGTGTGTTCAGTGACATTTCGAAGAATTTTTTCGGACAGCAGTTTGAGGAGCATCCTGAAGAAAGATTTTTTCAAGGACTCCCCGGGTGCAAGGACACACGATTTGTGTATTCCCCCACCCATCTGTTCATAAATTTCATTCAAATTTATCGAATTAAATATAAAATTAAACGAAATATTATATGACACGAACGCGTTCTCCTTTTCGATAATTTTAGATCATAAAATTATGGAAAAATATGGAAGAAAAAGAGAGAGAGAGAGAGAGAGAGAAAGATGATTATGATGATGATGATGATCATCATCATCATCCAAAGAGTTCTCGTAGTCATCGCGAGTTTT